CCGCCGTCATTTGTACGTAAATTATTCATCGGAACGACTTTTTGGCGAACCTGATTATTATTATTATTATTATTTTTTTTGTTTATTTTTGAACCACGTGAAAACGACATTTTTTAAATCCGGATATTACCTACTTTGTACGTACCTATATATTTTACAACAGGAATTCGAACACGAACGTTTGATTTATTTCGAATAAAAAAAAAAAAAATAACCCACTCAGATTTTAGCCAACCTCAAAAATTGACAGAAAAAACACACAAATAATTTACAGCTGTCAGACCAATCCGTTTATTGCGGAAACAAAGTAAAAACAGAGTCGTATTAAAATTAAATACAGGGTATTTGGAAAAAAACCTTAGTAGGTTCTGCGCGTTATGGCATCCAAACGAAAATTTCAAAACAATTTTACTTTTCCTCTGTACATGAAGTATAGGTAATGTTTGCAATAAACGGGCTAGATGCTTTAATACCATTATGTACGAAAATTCGGGTTTAATTAAGGGTTGTGGAGTTGTTAGACCTTTAAAGATATTTCTGTCCGCAAATCTGAAATTTCGTCATGAAAGTTGTTTTGAAAATTGCCAAATACCAAATTATTCATAAAGTTTTCAAGATGTGATGGGTATCACTGTTTTACTGATTCAAAATATATATTTTGTGTTAATATCAGGGTCGTCATTTCAATATATTTATTATTGGTGCTAAAGATTTTGCAAGCCATTTCAAATCATTACCAGGCCACAATTATGGGCACTTTTTATGAGAGGGGTGTTCAATTAGGGACATATCCTCTCTGTTATTTTTTTTTACCTTCTTTGCTAATTATATGGGGTCAGTCACCGTTTTCCTATATCTCCATATAGTGATCAGGCCAAAGAAGACGTTTTAAAAATAGTTGGTGCGAATGCACACCTTGAAGCCACCCCAATGACGTTTCTGGTTACTATGTTGTCTATATAGGTAGTTTTTCCAGTAAAATCTGCAAGTGCGCTGTTCGTAGCATGACTTCATGATTTTTTGAATATTCCTGGGAGATTTTTCTGGAAAAGTGAGATAAATTAACGATATTAATGAGATCAGGTGACATTATTTAAATCTATGAAATTGTATTTAAATTATGTAAAGACGTGTCTGATAATGTCACATATGATATAGGTTTCAAGATTTGTTTAATATGAATCAACCAAGGGGAGGTACACAGGTACACATCTTCTAATATTTATATTGGATTGTTGAGATGAAATGGTTTTTACAAATCAATAATATGTCTCATATTATCCATTATATAAGAATATTGTATTATTATTATACGAGAATATTCTGTGATTGAAATAGGCACAATTAGACCACCGAATTTGGGGGTGCTAAAATTATAAGCACATCAAAAACCCATGAGTGATACGATATGCCCTCTACACATACCCTTTACACGATTTTTACAATAGGAAACTACACATTTCATTTACAATTTTTTTTTTTTTTACACAAATTTATCAAAACTATTTTAATACTATTTTTCATACACATATACATTGTCTATAAACAGGATATCTATATTTTGTTCTGCTCATTCATTATGAAATACAAGGATAAAATATTTATTTCGTTATTATGAAAATGTTGATCGGGTTTTTTAGGGGTGCTAATTTTAAACTTGCGAGTGCTAAAGACCTTCAAGCATCCCCCTAGTTTCGCCTATGACGGTTGATGATGCTAATAAGAATTTAAATTAAAATCCACGATTCAATTACGAGTTGAATTTATTTGAATGAATGGAATGAAACTTCTGAGATCATGTTACTCTTCTAGAACAATGATCTATTTATCTTACGTCTATAACGCTCTAAACGGTCAGTGTTTTATCACACGGCAGCTGTGATGAGTGTAGGAAATAAAATCGCGTTATCGTTTATCGCACTATATTAATTGCGATATTACGCCACCGTCTGCTATCACGATGGTTTCCCGGATTTAATTAATTTTTACTCGTCTCAAAAACGAGCGAGGGAAATTTGTAAAAATTATTTTTATATCTTTCTTTATTATTAATATTATTCTTGTTCCTGACGATTCAATACCTATGGGTGCAATAATCCGGATATCCGGGGGGTATTTTCTTCATCAACGCCACCACTGGCGCGTACCGCAAGCTTTGTCAGGAAATTGTATATGATTTTTTTTTTTTTTTACAAAACTATGCATTTTGAGTTTTTGCCGATCCCGCACGGCTTTCGGCCGTCACGTACCTATTTCATATCACGTTTATCGATTCGAAGTGTCTGTCGTAATGCTTTTTATAGGTACGTATAGGTATTATCGAAAGATTTTCCTACGTTTATAACAATTTCCATTTTCTCAATACAAACACCTGCACGTGGTGAACATTTATATTTTACTCGGAATCTAGCGTTGCACGTGGGCTTGCCCAGTCGGCTATAATATACATATAGGTTAGGGTGTCACGAAAAAAAAAAAAAAAAATCAATTTTACCGGTCTTCACGTTCTCACGCCTACACATAGATTCGAAGAATGTCTTACAGATTTTTAGAACTATCTAGATAAAACCCAAATATCTTATATTTATCTGTATTTCTTTTAATATTTTTCCTAATTACAAACAATATACACGATATACACTAAGTATAGATATTATATTATATTATATTATATTATTATAATATATTACCATTAGGCAAACGTTAATTTTTCGGTATTTAACAAATTCATATTTTTTTTATGAATTATCTCAATACAGATTCTTAATATATTATTTGTGTTATCTAGATCACTATTCACTAGCAGCAATTATCTATTATCTTTATCCTAGACATAATCGTTACTATATTTTTTTAACTTGACATCAATATTGGTTATTTTTCACTACACTGGTCATATTTTCTTGATAGTTTTATAAAATCACAAGAACACTAAGTTTGATTGAAATTTCTCCGAGAGATTTTTTCGAACTAGTTTGTACGATTCTCAAGTTTAGTTTTAAAGTAATCAATTAATGAAATCTTTGTCCTCTTCGTGTTTTATCTAAATTGAACTGGTCACTTTATGTCTATCCATATTTCACAGTCTATATTTTAGATTTGACTTCGTATATTATATTATGTAATGCATTGGTTTACTATTATTATCATTTAGTGGTATACAGAGGGGTTTTATTGAGAGCACCCACATTTATAAATTATAACAATAGTATCCAATCGCAGACCTTTTTCAGACTTTTTAAGTTTCCCCGTAATACCAGTACAACAAGTAATCTACACCCACATCCCTCACGAGAGTATATATAGTCGCATTACAGCTACTGCAATTGTCATCAGTTTTTGTTTTGTGCTCGTAATAAATTTAATGGAAATGTGCATTGTCGAAAATCATCGTTGACATTTTATAGTGTTTATTCGATTTGAACATAAAAATGAAACTTACGATATTATAAAAAATAAACTAAAAGTCTAAAAAATGTATATTGAATTTCTTTATTTTTATTAGGTATTTAGAAGGGTTTTTTCAGTATAAGCTTATGTTGAATGAGATGGGAAATCACGAAAATCAGTTCTTCATACGCGTCTTTAAATAAGAAGTGTCTAATACGTAATATTATGCAAAGATAACTTAAGAAATATCTAGAAGAGATAGCGTGTATTGCGTTAGTCATTTGTCTTTAAATAAAACGAATTATTTAGTTTTAAGGTGCTTAAGGCTTTCATAAAATTTAAAAACTGTGAAATAGTAAATTAGAATTATATATTTTGAGTGGAGAGAGGAATATATTGGTTTTATAATGATGCTTAATAATAATTTTTGTTTTTATTATACCGAGTACGAAAGTCCTACTAGAAATCTTACTCCGATTTTCAAGTGTAGCATCTTTTCAGGAAATTCCCTGGGTTGGTACTTTAGAAGGCCATTTATTGATTTACCAAACAGTTTTCAAAATAATTGAACAGGTAAAAAAGTAGTAAAAACGGGAATATTTACGAAAATAATCCTTTTTTTATTACGTTAGCAATGGTTTATCAGATACAAGAGATATAAATTAAATAATTGTATAATATATCCCTCCTACTTAATTTCACAACTATAACAGTGGCACACCCTTTATTAGAGTATCAGCTCTTTTTTGTTTTTGCTTTTTTCTACTTATCACCTATTTAATAATGAATTATGATTTATGATTGAGAAAGTCATAATATTTATTTATTTGTTTTTTTTTAAAATTAATTAAAACTATATATTACAAACACATATTATTATAAAATTATCATTAGCATTATCAAATTTTTATCAATTACCATTCACCTATTAACTTAAAACCACTCAATATCTTTGTATTTTTAAAACAACCAAAATAAACAATTACTTCGACAATATGAATAAATGTCAAACATCGAGAACAAAACCTAACAAATCAAATGGTAAACTAATTATCTAGATCAGAGGTACTCAACTTCTTTTTTCACGTACTAGAGATTTGTCAAATACCATTTTATGACTAAAAATTTAACTATTTAAAATACTTATATATTTATTCCATATCGACGATAATAAAACACCAAAATTTAATTATTTATAAAGGTTAAATAAAAAAAGTATTAAAACTGTTAAAAACTGTTTTACAAATACATATTTATTCGTTCTCCGTATTTTCACCACGTGACTTTCTGCGTATGTAACACAGTTTAAGAATCGCTAATCTAGGTAATCTTGTCTGATTATCAAGATAAGATAAAAAGTTAAATTTTCCCATCTAGATAACGTATCAAATAATTTGATATAGACAAAGCAAGATTGAAAGTTGTATCGATATTTCCTAATAAAATATATATTTTTTTTAAATTAATAATTGACACTTAAAAAGAAAAAAAATAACATTTTTAAACGAATAGAATCGATAAAAATTATAAAAATAATTAAATTTATCAAAATCGAAATAGTGTGATCAGTGATCATATTGTGTTATTCCTCGTATTTTTTTTGTACGGTGTTAGACCATTACATTCGTCGTCGTTTCTTCTTCGCATGAATATCGTTCCGTGCACCATTTTGACCATTCATCCGTCGTAAATTTACTGTAAATATTATTTTCCTGGCGTGAATCCGAAACCTCCTTGAAGGTTGTTACATATAACTTTAGTTTCTTGCTTGGAATATAACTTACCAATGACGACATGACTCTGAAATACAAAATACATATTATAGTCGTAATTGGATATAAGGTGAGAGCAATTATGTTTATATTGTTAGTTTTTGTGTATATTATTATTCCGGAATCGTAATTAAAGGACGTTTTCAGAAAACTGGGAGAATTAAAAATATACATTTAAAAAAAAAAAAAACCAGTTTTTTGAAAATTATAAAATATAACGGGAAAAAATAAATTTAACGTGAACGAAAATAATGGGTAATAAGCTATATTATTTGGTTTACAGTTTATAATATTGTTTCTACAGTTTTTTAAAGTTTATTTTTTAAAAATATTAAAAATTAATTTTTAATATATAAAATTATCCAGTTTTCTTTTTTCCAAATATCGATTTCACCTTAAGTTTTTACTTTCACTTAAATTTCCAATTTTTTTTCTGATTACTACGTTTTTTCACTAGTTTTTCTCCGGATATATTTTCCATATTAAACTGTCATATAACATCATCATCGATTCACCCATAGAATTATTTCAAATTTAAATTCACTATCATAACAGATTTAAATTTCATAACCGAACGAATATGATATATTATAGCAATTTATTTACGGTTTTAGTACTTTTAAATATAAACAAAAAGGTTTTGCACACTGTGGATGTGATAAGTTATTCACACACTCTTACTGTGCAATAAAATAATTGATATTGTTAGGTATTTTATATTATAGTGCACAAAATTAATATTCGTTTTATTAAGTCGAAATTATTGTTCACTTTACATTAAAAAAAAAAAATATTAAATATTATTCCCGATATGGATACTTTGTGTGAAATTTTCACATGAGTATTCATTTTATGAAAAAAAAAAAAAATTCACAACTAAAAAGAGCACGACATGTGCATTGTCATATATTATATTATAATTTGGTTTAGATTGAATTACAGAAATATTATAAGTTAATTATATGATATTACGTAAATTACGAAAAATTGTTCTTCAAGTAAAAAAAAATTAAATTACATCACTGTTGTAATCGATAAATATATAATTTGAATTCAAAGTATGCAAATTACCGCACATTTTTTTTTTGTAAAATATAAAATCGTTTTTTTAACTAATGCAAATGTTTACGTCAAACGAAACACTCCTTATGTTCCTTAATTCATATGTATTGTCATCGGAGATATTCAAGATGACTTGATCACTCACCTTGTTCGTGAGTACATTGATGAGATTTCGTGGGCTGGATGTGGTTGTTATTTTGCTATCGGTGATGCGACCACTTACACCATCACAGATCAATTAAAAAATACAGGGATTGATTAAGTTAATTTTTGAGTGAAAATAATAATTCTGTTATACCTACCTTTACAATGGTATAAAATTCAAAATACTTAAATTTTAAAACAAATAGATACACATTATAGGTACATCAGTAACTTTATCAAAAATATATTCCTGATAAACAATAAAATGCTAGAAATCCTGTGTCCTATAGATTCTTATAGATAAATATTATTTATAAGAAATTTCACTATACAAATTAGCAAAAAGCTCCCACAACGATTTTATTATACAAAGATATGTTACACAAAATTACAGATTTGGCCTTTGTCGTAACATGAAACAAATTTTTAGCTGGCGTTTCTTTACGGTTGTTCGAGGTAAACAATCAAATGTTAGAAATTCTATACCCGTATCGTAGATAACGAAACTAAACGATTAATAGTATTTACAATTTATTTTCTCGCTTATCATAATTTTCTACTATATAGTAGAATTACGCAAGCAAGTCATTAGCTCTTATTCCCACCCTCCGCCACTCCCTAACATGTCATTATTTATTCATTTACATACCTCCATATATCTTTCCTAATAACCTCTAGTCTCTTTTCTTTCTTTATCTTTTGGCAATAGTCACAAACTACCACTCTCATTCTCTCGATATTGCCGTATTACATCTCAATCTAGCATCCATTTATAAGATATGGTGATGTATACTATAGATATTAGTTCAGGACCAATTGGATCACTTTGTTCTTACCCATTTATCCAGACAAATTCCAAATTCGGTGACTTGGATCCGGCTTCGTTACAGGCCATACGTTGCACACATTGAGCCGATTGTACGGTGGACACGAAACGGGCCAACTTGGGGACGAAAGCGACGCCAAATGTGTCGAAGTCAAGAAACCTGTTGTGCGTTATAACGGTTGGTATGGAGGCGTTGCCATTCCGAGATGAGGAAGAGGAGCTCATCATGCTGGATAAGCTCGTGTCTGACGTGCTGATGGAATTGTCACTGGGGGGTCCTGGGGGACTGGGCAGGCTGACCAAAAGGCACGGGCACGTATGGGGGGTCGGGGCTGGTAACGAGGTGTTATTGTTGAACATAGCCATCATCATGCTAGGCACGAAGGGCAGCAACATGATCTTGACGATTTTGGCAAGCACGAATAGTTTGACGATAAACCAGAATTTCATCAACACGAACAATTTGAATTTGATGAGCAGGAACAACAGGAATTTCAGCACCTTGAACGCTTTGGCTTGGGAAATTCCTACAACTGCCGACGAGGCTATTTCGTACACGTCAAATACTGCCTCTTGGCTGGGCCTGCGAGCTTTGGCCGTGGAGGACGACGGACGCGTTTGAAGTTGGTCGAACCAGCTGGACGCACCGCCATCGTCATTTTCTTCGCCACCGGCAATTCCGGCGACGTCTTTAAGATCTTGGTGATCCGAGACTTGGGCGTAATCGACGCCACCGTCGGCCAAATCGTAGTCCAATGCGTTTTGCTGGAACCTGTTGACGAACGGGCGACCGCCGCCGTTTGTTGACATAATCGGATCGACGAAGACCTGTCGATTATGATGCTGTTTTTTCAAATGTCGTTGGTCGGCGAAATAATTGTTATACCTGTCAATAAACGAGCACTAGTTCAATTAAAATACTTTCGATACATATTTGAGTAGTATTGAACATAATTCTTTGGTGCAGACAGTTTTAATTTTATTTAAACATCCAGTACCTAGGTAAATCATAATACTATCTGGGATAGTTTTTTTTTTTAGATTCTTAGTGAAGCGAGGAAAGTATTTGTTTTACAATTTAATTTATTTTTATTTTTTTTATATTGTATACAACTATTTTACCAGAAATCTTATTTCAATTTTCAAGTGTAGCACCTTTTTTGGTAGGACATTTTTCGAGGTGGTACTAAAATAACCACCCTTAAGAGTGGCTATTTTTTTATTTCCCAAGCAGTCTTCTATATAATTTGGAAAAACCGGGAAATATTTAGAAATAAACGGGAAAAAGTGAGATATTTTCGTATATGCTTTTGTTAATTTTAATTTTATTTGTTTGTTGTAATTCTGTTCGAAATGTCTGTAAAGACTCGAAGCTTAAAAAGAAAAAGTCTTATATTTGCCATTTGAAGACGTGGTAAAATTTTCAAAACATTCAAGCTATTTTTTAGCTTTTTATAGATATTTTAATTTTGCTGTTTTTTTAGTTAATACTTATTCGATAGATAATTTATGGATTAAATGTTTTGACCAAACAGAAATGCTTAGATAAATAATAGGAGGTTTATTATAGACTGTACTTAGTGTTCAACAAGAAAAAGTTGAGTTTATTGAAGTATTTGAGATACAGAATATAGCGAAGAATGTATGGTTTTACAAAGATGTTTATTTTTTTTTATGTGAACATTTTTTCTACATGATAGCTTATTTCTACGTAAGCCTTCTTCTGAAAGGAAATTTATTTTTAGACGATACTTTAGGGAGGTTAATTTTCAATTTTCCCAAGAGTTTTGTTTTCTCAACAAATGTGAAAAACCGAGAAAAACGTAGGAAAAATAGGAAAATCGGTACAATATTTAATAAATATTATTAAAGAAAATATATAATGCTTATTTAATTTTTATATCACAATATGACATATATATTGTTGACAAAGCATCACTATTAACTAAACTACGCTCAGATACGTTTTTTCGTTAGCAATAGTTTATCGTTGTTTACAAATATATATTAAATTCCCTTCGGTATCTTATTTTCCCAACTTCTCACCTACAACAGTCGCCCATCCATCGTGCGAAATATATCAGTATTTTTTTATCATGCTGTTTAAAATTCGAAATATTAGTTAGTGTAGTAAGTTCTTTTGATTTGACGAAATTTAAATTATTGTTAAGCTTTTAATTTTCCAATGTTTCAAATTAAATGGCCGAAAAAAAACAATTAAATACTCTATCTAGTGTCTACTTCGTAATATTAAACTAAATAAATGAAAAGAAACCTCTTAAATAAATGTCTTAAAAAGTGTTTTCGACTTAGTTAAGGTATCTGCCGTTCTAATAAAAAATAGACTCGCGTACATACACAAATGTAAATGATTGCATGGTAAAAGTTAATTTGAAAAACTATAAATAACGCACGCGTTATAACATTATAAGTAAGTGACATAATTTAAATCAATTTTATTTTAAACTTTTAACTCGTCAATGTCTCATACCTTGCGCATCACTCTTACGGAATATGCTATTAATAAATCAAATTCGTACCTGGTCCATATCGGCACTACGTTTTCTTTCGCTGTTGGATATTCTGGACGTTGTCCGTTCGAATTGTCCGCGTCCGGCCGATAGGTTCGGCCGTCGTAAATGTTCGGGTGTTCGGCGTGACGATGATTACTATGGGGAATGAATATCGGTTTACCAGTGGTCATTGATGGGTAAACGGGAAATGTTGAGGGGACCCAGGGATGGTCGAAGCTGTCGGAGTCGTCGCCCGGTATCGCCGCCGAAGATAATGTACTGTAACCTCCGTCGTGTTTTTGTTGTAGATCGACGGCAGGTGAAAATTCGTCTGCACTTTGAGTACTATTATTATTATTATTATTCATGTCTGACGTTTCTTCGGAAACTCGACGGTCGGGCCAGGTGGACCCGAGCGGGATAGTCCACGGTGTAGGTTGTTCATGATTCCGAACCGAACCGGCCTGTAAAACCCGATCGAATAATGCGATCGGCAGAAAAAATGACAAAACCGTGACGGCCATCGTAACCTAAAACCTCGGTTTTTGCGATTTGACGTTTGTTTACCGTTTCTGTCCCTTACATACCCGACGAATAGTATAATATTTCAGACACTTGGTATACCGCGTTTATAGTTGGCTGCGAAAAATCGCGTGTTCGTGATTGATCGCTTAGGAATTCGTAACGGTCATCTGTCGTTTCACGACTGAATTTGATCGCTTCCGAAGAGTTCTATTAATATAGACGTTTGAGGAGTTTGAGAAGAAAAAGGAGGAGAAGGAGGAGACGGAGGGGAATAATAATAATCGGCCGATCGAAATACATAGAGTAAATTATATCATTATTATAATATGTTTAAAGATAATTTATTGTCACTTCTAAATTACATGGTTTAGTCGTATATAATGAGAAAAAGTGAATGTGATTATTTTTTCGTTCAAAACACTAGACTCCAGAGTAATAATTGGATCAATTTCCACAGATTCTACATACTTGTAGGTATAAATAATAATATTTTTAAAATTTGATTACACCGATCGCAATAATATGATTTATTGTTCCTAATGCTTTGGGGGAGGACACGAGGGAAATAAGTACCTCAACTAATTTTTTGGATATTCTAGCGTACCCTTAATTTTTTTTTTAGAAGGGAACGTATGGAACGGGTTGTTATTTAAGCTTAACTATTTTTATAAAAGTGCTCAACTTAAATTTTTATGTTTAATACGAACCCTTTTTAACCCTAATAAATATTCTTATATTTACAAAATGTATTCAAATCTCATATCTGATACGTGATAACTGATGATTAGCCATTAATAATAATCATTAATTTATAAATCCATGTAACCAGTAACCACTAACCTATTATAGTAGTATCATTGAACAACAGGCTTTTTTATTTCGTTTAACACAGTTATCAATATTCTCAATTATGGAATATATTTAATGAAAATGTTTATAAATGTAAAACTATTAATTTTTGTAAAAAAGTTTTTAATTTTTTTTATATATTTTATTATTGGTTTTAAATAAAAGAAAGAAGAAAAGTTATACCTTAATCAATATTATATTATTCTGTTTTGTTATGATATACGTTTAATGGTTTTATATTAAAGCTTCTTAAGGTACCGTAAAAAAGGATGTGGGAATTACCCGCTGTAATATGAGGGATAATAAAACGCTTGAGACGCTACTTTTTTAAAAGTAGCTAGAGTATCTATACTACTTTTCCCCAAGTAAAGCACTGACTTTATAAGTTATTTGTGTGATGGGAACTTTGCACGAATTGCATTTTTCATAAAAGCACACCAGTTAGTTAAACGCAATACATTATAAAGTTTTAGTGGATTTTAACTTGACATTTAAATCAATGTCGACAACCAATAGACGTAAGTAATATGCACTGAAAAACATTATGTTATTTGTCAATAATATAGGTACCCAGGTATTTATGTAAACCGAATAAATTTTGAAAAAAAAAAACCGCGGCTTTCCGAAAATATAGAACGTATACATATATTTTATTTCAAACGAATTCATACAATTATTATTAAACAATACATCATTGAATTCTAATTTTTGAAAAATAAATAATTACAATAATAAGTAAATAGGTGCCTATCTATGTTAAGGAATTTTAATTATAAATTATTATTAGGTGCTGAATATAAATATATAACTATGTACATATTTCGAGTAAAAATAAAAAAAAAAAAAAAATATAAATAAATAAATATAATATGTAATATAATAATATAATTATTATTGATCGTTTCCGATTTCTCCTCGGCAAGAATATCGTTTGTCGCACCATTTCGACCATTCCTCGGCCGACGGATTGCTGAAAAGGTTTCCCAAACGATAATTGGAAACATCCTTGAATGTTGACACGTACGTTTTGAGTTTTTTGTTAGGGATGTAACTGACCAACGATGATAGGATCCTAAAGTCGTAATATTATAAGTTATTTTGATTGTAATAATATATCGCCGATGGTTGTGAGATAGAGAGTTTATATAAGTATACAAATAGAATTAGAAGTATGTTTGGCTAAAGTGATGGAAAGAAGTATCTTGGTCAGGAAGTCAGAGGTTATAAAAGCAGTTTTTCAAATGCATATGTAATAGAAGAGGGGGAAATTAAAACCGAAAAGGAGATGGTTATTGATGATAAATTTGAGTAAGTAATATGAGCCTTGCTGATAAAGCTGAGAATCAAGTGGAGATTTAAAATTGAAATACTGACCCCGAATACTTGCGAAAGTTATAAAGAGGTAGAAGAAGACTGTAACTTCTTATTATATTAACAGGGTCTTAATTTTTCAAAAATTGACTCCTTTTTTCTCTTGCATTTATTTTTATTACCACCCACAATGTTTGTGATTTCTCTTTTCTCATGGTATGTCCAAACAATTTCTGTCTATTTTCTCTTATTTTATCTATTATCGAAGTTATATCTACGCTACCACGTATGTACTTGTTTCACATCTAATCTTCTCTCTCGTCACTTCACTCATCTAAGCTTTCTCATCTCTACTACTTAGGTTATAAGAATTTTATTTTAGATTCTGAGCAGAACGAGCAGTTTAATGGTTTTAAATTGATGTTTATTTTTTTTTCATTTTTTTTTCCTGTGAACAACTTTTCTATCAGACATTTTGTTCTGATATTCAAGTGAAGCACTTTTTCTGAAAGGAAATTCAAAATATTTTTAGAAACCTGGAATTTCGACAAACTACTCATATTTGTTTTTTATTAGACATAATAAAATTTTCAAAGTATTTTAACCATATTTGAGCTGTTTAGAGGTATAGATTTGTCGCTGGTTTTTTAAGTAATTTTTATTTAGTACTATGTGGATAAAATTCTTAGACAGAACAGAAATGCTTGAAAATTTAACAAGAGGTACATTATAAGTTAAAATTCGTGGTCAATAAGAAAAAGTTGAGTTTAATTTAGGTAGTAAATTTTATTTTCGGAATTTTTTAAGAAATTAGTAGCTCTAAAATGTTACTTTATTTTTATTTTTTTTCATCATTATTTTAGAAGGTTAAACTGCTTCTTAATTTTGATTTCCGAATGGCAACCTATATTAAAAATTCTTCATTTATACACGGAGCATTAGTTTAAATCAATTTAGATGTTAAAATGTTTAATATTTGTCAACCAGTTGACGAGATATTCCACTTTTAAGTTTCGGTGGGGGGAGAGTAGTGGTGTATCATTTGTGTGGCAGCACGGCGCGTGGCATTTAATATTGTTCCACCACTCTCCCACTGACAAAACTTAAAAGTGGAATATCTTGTCAGCTAGTAAACGGAAATTAAAAATGTTAACACCTAAATTGATTTAAACTAATATTCCATCTATTTTTGGAATTTTTAATATAGGTTTCCATTTTAAAAAACAAAAGTAACTAGTTTGTTAAATAATTAGAATCTAAGTGGTTAAAATCTCTACAATAAGGGTGACAAAATAAAAAAAGAGTAATATAAAATTTTAGAACTACTAATTTCTAAAATTTTCTGAAAAGCAAATTCCGAAAAAAGTTGAAAATTGCTGAGAGGGATAATGAATGTCTCTCCTTATGTTGAAAACCCTGTATATATATATATATATATATATAGATATATTTTATTCTGATATTCAAGTGTAGCACATTATAAATATATGTATACATACAAATATTATCAATAAATTAAAATATACAACAGGATTTATGAATAATATATACATAATTCACAAAAAAAAAATTTAAAACACTTAAAACGTTAGAGATTAATATCAACCTATAGTTATTTTGTTGTGTTTGTTTTTTATTTCCATCACTGACGAAAACAGTTTTTCTAAAAGAATTCACTGAGCAACTCGATTCAATAATCCATCCAAATCGACATTTAACACGAGTTAGTTCGCAGCTGGGGGATTGCGATTATAATAATATTATAATTCTCTTATGGATAAATATAAAAAAAAATTATGCCATTTCCTTACCCTTGGCAATTGATTATTAAAAAAAGTACCTATTTACACTACCTATATAATGACGGAAAAACATGAACAGTAATCGATTTGTGTATTTTCGCGAAAAATATTTTAAAATATGTATTAATATTTTACTAAATTTTAACACAATTGCCCATTTATTGAAAGTAATATTATAGTGTATTTTTTTTTTTTTTTTATTGTGTGTCTCAGTACCGTGTGTATTCGTGTGTACCTATAATCAGAATATGCTTTAGAATAAACAGAAAAAAAATCTATTTGTGACAATTTTTTTATATTTTGGTCTCCAAGCTAATCATCTCTGCATATTATAATATTATTATAGTTTAAACGGAAGAAAATAAGTGAAGTTTTTCATGGGTTAAATTAAAATTAAAAAAAAGTAGATATAACCTAATAAAAACCGTAATAACTTAACGATATTAATAATAATTTTATGTGATTGTGAACATTATATAGGTATGTAAATAAGAGATTCAATTATTTATCATTTTTCCTAAATTAGGCGCATCACATTTAATAAACCGGTGTCATCATCCAAGTAATATTTAATAATAATATTCTCACCAATTCATCCATATAGAATTGAGACTTGGCGGCTTCGTACCAGCTACCCGGCAAGCCATCTTTTCCACGCATTTGGCCGTCTGTACATCAAACATGAACTGGATCAGATTGGGTGGACCGTTTTGAGCGGCCCGGTCAATGTCGATGTTCGTACTCCTTTTGTGTACCGACTCGGACATGCTGTCGTTACGGTACTGAACAATCTCGGAGGGCATCATGGGCATCATAGGCATATTCATATTCATGGGCATATTCATGGGCATGGAAGACGGGCTCATTTGCATCATAGCCGAGTTCTTCAGCCACGACATCAAGTTGGGTAAGAACGGCAGCACGAACAGTTTGAAAAATTTAGCCGCCAAGACCAACTTGATAAATAGGAATGCTTTCCATATGACCAGCAGTTTTAGTTTAACCGCCAAGAATGTCAGGAACTTGAGCACTTTGAGTGCCTTGAGCTTGGCCAATCCAATCTTTATTATGGCTAACATGCCCAGTTTCTGCATGTCGAGCGACCCTTTGCGGCTCGGTTGCCGGACTTCAGCTGTGGTGACAGGTCGAGGGGAGATTACTTGTTGGTGAGAGTCACCATACCAGCCAACTTCCACGCCTCCGTTCTGAGCTTTGAGGCCATCCAGTTCGTAAGTAGCCGCATTGTTACTATAGTCTACGCTGTTATCATATCCATTAAATCCACCTCCTAAATTGGCCAAATTTCCCAAGGTACCTAAGTTGCCCAAGTTACTACCACTGCCACTGTCTGTCTGCGGTACATCTGTTTCCTGCACGATCATTGGACCATACTTTTTTAGTTGTCTGTAACCAGCTGGGTAGTACCTGTTGATAAGCGTGAATAAGTTCAGTCTTGAAAAAATACTTTTAAAAATCCAGGCATTCTTTACACCACTGTTATAAGATAAAAGTTGATAAGGTAAAGGATACATATAGGATAATATTATTTTGTTTTGTATATTGAGAGCAACGATAAATCATTACAGTCAATCCAACGCTTTTGAGTGAACATTTCCATGAGATAAACAAATATAAAATTCAAGTATGAGTCCTTATAAAAAAATTGAAATTGGAACATATTGATTCAAAATTGTGTATTTTAAAAAATATTATTTACGGAACCCATTCAAATACTTGTCAACTTTTAAAATACAATTTAAACGATTTGGAGCAATTTTAATAACCAAAAAAATGTTGTCCGAAAAAAAACATATTTATGAAAAAACTGAAAAATGATATTGTTAAATAGTACTGTGAATACCCGTTAAACTTACCTGTTCCATTTCGGAGCCACGTTCGCACTGCCGATTGAGTATTCGGAACGTTGGTCGTTTACGATTTCCATATCTTGCCCAAACTCTCGGCTACCACCGAGGTAAGAAGGATGTCTTATGTATCTGCTTCGTGTGACGAATGACGGTGCTGGCGGAGGATCGGTGGGCAGCACCGGGTACACTTCGACGTTGGCGGTGACCGGCTGCGAATTGTCAACGGAAACGGCCGAGTCTTCAGTTTTCTGTAATGACGAAAGGGTACGGTATTCGTCGGCCGAAGACTTTTGTCCGATGGTCTTGTGCTCGGCCGAAGTTTCCAATCTCTGAGGTCCGTTTCTGTCCTGCGTGAGCTCTTTGGCGGAACGATGGTTTACGGCCCGGGTGGCATACACGATAATTGGCTGTTGCGGCCCGTCGGATCGACCGGCCAAAATCGTCAGCGCGCAGTCGGACCACATCGCAATCGTCAGCGAAACGGTTAAGAAGGCGGTCACCGACATAGTTGTATACAATTAAACCGGAGTTAACGAGCGAATTTAGTTTTGAAGTCGGTCCCGTGGGCAGAAAAATTCTGTAAACAAAAGCGGTTAGAATCGAAATAAAACGAGTACTTGCCGTTTATTCCGATCAATCGTAAAAACGGACGATTAGAAAATCGTCCCCGTGGTTTACGTGGTGTTCGCAGACTGTATCGTTTGCCGACGACGAACTGCGGACTGAACTTGGTCGCCTCCAATGATCTTCTCTAATAACGCCGTAAAGTCTGGGCACCGCCGGTATCTCAGTGAGGGGGAGTATAGGACATTGAACAAGATAATCGACCAGCATCTAGATCAATACCGTATACGAAAACGATTTTTCTTTCGTCGAAATTATATTTTATAACCATATGCACGCGAAAAAGGGAAAACATGTAATTTTTTTTTCATAAATAAATGAGAGTGATATTATGGTCGGAGAGCATCGCCTACTTTTGTATTATGTTGAACTGATCCTCAACAAAAATAAAAAAATATACATATAAAATAATCGTACAGACTTGCATATTGTCAACGCGAAATAAAAAAAAAATGAAACATAATATGATCCGAAAAAAAATATCTTATGGTCATTAGACTCCGCGGTATAGATGTTAATTTGGTACACTTGGTTTTTATATCATGGTAGAAATCTTTCTCTTTAACACACACACACACACACACACACACATGCACACTTAAGTTTAAACGATTATACATTATAAAGGATTTTTTTTCCAAAATTACTCGGTCCACGTCGCATGCACTTTAAACGCTGTTACATTTTCTCAATATATTGACATAGGAATTAATATATCAATGTACCTTTGCCACTTTTTCAAATTAAACCTACATGCGAATTTTAATCTGATTATATACCTGTATATGTACATAGGTAAATTATTTACATTTTACTTTTACTTTAAAATAGTTATTGCGCCGGGTAGGAGGGCTAACTACTTGTAAATTCGGAATATATGTATAAAAAAAAAAAAAAATTGATAAAGTAGCGCTTACTGTATTTTAAAAAATACAGGCAGTCAAGGAGGTACATAATATATAATACTACACAAATAATTCGGTTAAACATAATAATTGGGTATTACGCTGAAAAAAAAAAACACTGTAACATCCAGAAGTACCTATGCGTATTTAAAATATAAATAGATTTCCGAGAAATATCATACATTTTAAGGCCCTTGTCAGACCTAATAAAAATCGATGACCTTAATATTAAACGCTTTCAATATAAAAAAAAAAATAAAATAAATATAAATCCTCTTCTATCCGATGGGATCTAAACACGTCTTAAAATATTACACTTTTTCTTATTATTATTTCGTAAATTGAAAGACAGGTTTAAATAATTGTTTAATCATGTTTTTAGGTTATTTTTATTTTTTATTATTTTTTTTTTTTTTTAAAATGGCAATGAATGAATCGATTACAAAAACGTGAGTAGTTATTATTCGTAAATTAAAAATGTAATTTCAACACATGCATATGAAACTATAGTATATAAATAATATTTGCCATTAAGTTTTAACCAATTAGTACTTAAGGAAAAGTATAGCAGTCCATCTAAAAGTATTCAAAAACTTTCTGAAACATAATTATTACGAGTAGTGAGTAGCACAGTTAGAGACTTGGAGAATTGGCCTGCACGGATATAATTTTATTTATTTTTATTGAGGTTTTTATTAAGTATGTATATTTTTTTTTTTCAAAAGAGTAAATGTATGCTTACACCCATAAACTACATAAAAAATGCGTAATCAAATAATACAAGTACTTATTTGAATTATTTACAATTTAAGTCTTACGTATTACAACTATTTTGGTGGATGCTCATAAACTATAGAAAGATGCTGGGCCGCCCCTACTTTTAAGCGAAACCTGACAAAAATTGCAAAATCCAAAATTGGAAGTGTGTAATTTTTAAAAAAATTGAAACAAGAAAAATATTTATGATAGTAAAAAGATATTAATATAATTATAGTCAAATTTTACCAAGTTATCTTTACTTTTTGAAGGAAATTTCTATGTTATTATATTAAAATATTATCTCTGAAAATTAGATGCTGGTGGCTATAGGCGCCTTAACTCACTAATCAAATACGGTTTTCGTTTTATAGGAGCTTTCCGAACTTTGTCGGCCTCATAGGTAAAAAAAGTTCGCCATGTCACTATCAATGGGCCTTAAAATGCGTTTCTATTAATTTCCCGGAAGATAATCAGTATTGCGTGGAAATCTTCAGTACACGCAAAACTTGTCCGTATGCGATTGAATGAACGGGACCTATCGACGGTGACGATGATGGCGCGCGACGTGGAGCATGAGAATTTATAAGGACACGCACGGTAATATATTATAAAAGGATTTTCGAATATTTTAAATGATATTAAAGCATCACGGGTACCTTACATTTCGTCCATATATATTAAAGTGTAAAGTGTATACAGACGGAAAATTATAAATTTCCGATATCTATATCGAAATCATTTATTCATATTATTTGAGTTTATACAGGAGGATGTTATAATAACATATTATTCTTGTGGCAATTTATGTTTTCTTTGCACTTTTGTTTGCGCCGTTTTTATGGAAATTTCATCCGGTGTGTAGTAAGTGGACCATAGGTCAGTGAGCGACCGAAAAAACAAAAATAAACAAATAGAAAATAAAAAGCTAGAACTTCAATATTTTGTTAAAAATAACTCGATAATATAAATATCAAGTTAAACGTAGAAAAAAATGTTATTGCAATTTACTGTAATTTGATTTAATGTCGCCATTCTCTTAAGAAGCAAAATATTTGTCAATACCCTCCTCCCTTTATGTGAAGATCCACACCTACCCTACTTAAGATCCACTAACCCTACTGACCAAAACAAGTTTGTGTATCCTTCACCGTTCTCCATTATCGCCATCGACCACATTGAGAAACAATGGTTAGATTGTATCTTTATTTTAGTATTTAAAACCATATTTTAGACTTAGCAATTGGAGTGAAGACACTAGGTATTAGTTTTACCAAGATGCAACTACCTCTAGGATAACATTTTTTTGACTCTAAATTATTCACATCGTAGCTTAAATTATAGGATTTTTCATCTGATGATACGTAATATAAAAACAATTGTTTAAATTTCAAAAATTACAATAAATAACTAGGTATTCATTGATTTTACTCTAAAGCTACAAATAGGAATAAACACGACTAATACTATAACAGTTTACCGAGCTCCACTCAGAATCCCATTTTCGATCATTTTCGTTATTTCAACTAAATATTATTTTCTAAACAAATCGTTTTACGAATATTATATTTTGTAGTTGATTATTTTCTAATACACATATTATTATAGCCGCCACGGACGGACCATGTTTTCGTCGCGCGCTACCGACGACGACGATAATGCAGTAGTTAACACTCTCATTTAAGCAATTTTCGATTTTGTGTAAAACTTCACGGACTGTTGACCAATAGATGTACACACAGACACATACACGTACACACATGCGACGTTCATATATATTACTACATCTACAACCTACGTATATACGCGAGGGTACAAAAAATAAAAACGTAGTATCGTGTTCGTGCGTGCGTACCTTTTAACGGTCTTCGCGTGACGTTATTGTCGACGACGTGGTAAACTGCACAAAGCGTAAAGACGAGTACACGGAGAGTGGTAGGGGAGGAACGAGCTATTTTTCCCTCGCGTAAGTACGGGACGACGGGGAGGTGAATTTATGTGCACTATCAAATGTATTGTATACGAACCAGCTATTAATCTAAGTCAAACCGGCGGCGGCGAACGGAACTCTCTGTTACAACAGTCCACCTGTATATATAAATTCCTCTTTCTTGACTCAAGCAGCCAGCCATTCACCCGACTTTCCCTGGTTTCCACCCCGTCGACACACTTACCTGTGTACCGGATTTCACAGACTTGACGTTTTCGATTGTCAACGAGAGGGTCTGCTCCTATACTACACACCTACATACTCACCCACACACATCCACCCACACACATATGCCAAAAAACACATGTACGTCGAAAAATATACACATACACACACAGAGTATCCCTTACACGTAATACACGGACAGGGTCGTCATGAATCATGAGGAATACAATATATGCTTGTCAGTAACGCCCAACCAAAGGACTAGACGCTTTGATAAGAAAATCGGGATGTACGCACCTGATCATCCAGGCATGCATATCGCCTCGATGGAGAACTTGTACGGTTCAGTTCCAGAGCTGTTTAATTCTAATAATATTATTTATCACTGAATTCAGTCCGATAAAACCACTGTCCGGTCGAATTATAAGTTTTTTCTATTGTTATCAGCTTATTTACATAATCTATTCATTCATTATATTATTATACTGTTTGATATGAAAATACATTTTTAATTGTATAAGTCGATTTTAGCAAACTTGCACAATATTGTGTAGCGCTATAATCAATATCTAAATAATTATGTCAAACAATAAATTGATTATATCTATTATATCTACTTCTGGACCATTGACTATGCCAAATGTCAATGTAAGTCTTCTTCTCTTGGAGGGGAGAGATCGCCTATATTCGTTCCCTCCCCCTCAGGGACATGCCTGAATTCATCTTATGTTTTAGTTTTTTTTCGTATCCACCCTTTTCTGTCTTCTGTAACTTCTCCGAAAAATAACACTGGTCTTTCTTTTAGCTAGCAAAATCACAGCCAAAGGAACGAGCTTGGTAAAATCAGAGTCACTCGTTCTTGGCAGACCGGCTGGGATTAATGTTTTGGTCAGTTTCCAGTGTTTTCCAGCCGAGGCAGAGGGAACTACTTACTCCCCCAGTCCCACCAGCTGGCACAGACTTCTCCGCGGTGCTAGTTATTTGTAGCGTGAAGCGGACATGAGCAAATTCTCGCGAGTGGTACTTTCCGACTGAGGTTACATCGGCGAGAGTTTCGAAACTACGGTTCGGCTCTCCGCATGATGTATAAGGGGATCTTTTCGTGATCCGACCTCTGGGTCGCATCGTGGGATGTCCTAGGTATGTGGACTTACCTCTGACAACGGAGATTGTGTTAACAAACACGTGTCGGTAGACTCCTGGCTGCCTCCGGTATGGATCGATCATCCATTCCGTCGGTCGTCGGGTTTCGATACATGTCCAACTTTTGACATCAATAAAAAGTTTTTTGGGTGGCTTTTAAAGTTCCCGGCGTCATGCGATTGGATCGGACGGGCTTATGAGTTTTGTTAGATGGTAGTTAAACTGCCGGGGGTCACCCACCCGACGGCGGCTAAATCGTGAGCGGACAACTAGGTGAATCGGGTAACAGTAGCAGGGACCGCGCTTTGATGCATGGAATGCACCCAGGGCTTGTCCTGTCTCGCCGTCGGCTATTGAATAACACCTTAGTACTAAAATAAGATCCGGATGGTTGTATCCTGTATCATGGTATAGGAATTAAAATCAAGGGTGCTACCGGTCTTCCGTAGTTCCTTATTAGTTTACAGTGTTTAACCGTGGCTAAATAATTACCAATAAATAAAAGCGTTACCACGTTTTTGGCTGTGAACTGTGCGTATGCATCATTTGTTTGATTACGAACGTGGAATGTAATAAAAAAAAAAAAATCATTAAATTAAAAAATGTTCGTCGTGAATTTTAGACGTTTGAACGTAACTTAAAGTTTTGAGACGCTCTCCGGAAAAAAAAAAAAAAACAACCCTAACCACTTGGAACTAAAAGCGACCACGTAATTAACAAAGACGAGACCAGTAATGTCCCGACCTCACGGTCGAAGACTGGTCCCGCTGGTCCCGACAGTGAGAATTAGTTCCGGTGCAGTACTCAATAATATGACGTATACCTACGTCCTCCCGCGTGTGTAAACATTACAATACCATAACGGTCGATCGATTCGCGAATTGTATTTGTACGTGTAAAATATAATAAAACACGAGTCTGCCCGTGTACGCATATATCTATATATATTTATATACACACTCCGAGCATACGTTCCGGATGATACACTGTCCGATATCACATAATATCGCGTATATTAAAATATAATATAGATTCTGTGAGGTATTGGATTATATGGCTGTCGTCAACAGACTAGCGCGCGAAAACGTTTCCCGGCGGAACGGTTTTATTATCGTTTTACGGGATTTTTAATTTCGTTTCTTTTGGCATTGAGCCGTTCGACAAAATTCGCATCAATGGTAAACGAGTATGTTATTGTTATCGTGTACGATTTCGCACACTCGTACATCCGCGACACTCGAGCGCAGAATATCACGTTGTTGTGTGTTGGTCCGCGCGATTCCGCGTCGACACTTTTAGATTCGGAGCGTACAGTATTGATTTATCTATGATAATAATATGTTGTTTATTATTTATTCATTTTTTTTTTTTCTGTCTGTTAACAACTTTTTTTTTAGACATTTTGCTCTGAACTCACAGTGTTCGATTTGGAAAAATAAATGCTGAGAGACTATAAGCCTCATAAAAAAAAAAAATTAACGTCCCTAGCAAATATTGAACTCAATTTAAACCGTACGGAAATTTGCTTCCCTCACAGCTCCTTGACATAAATTTTCCTACCTTTAGAGAACTTTACTACCAGACATAAATATCCGATCATCAACTTTAGAGGTGGTTTCTAATTGAAAATTGTATTTATTTTACGCATTAAGGAGATCATTTTTGTATTGCCCTTGTAGTTTTATAAGTAATTTGAGAGAAAAAAAAAACCTAGAAAAAGCACCAGGAAAATCAGAATATTTACACAATAACGGTCTTTGTTTTATTCTATTTTATTTTTTTATCGAAATTCAATAAAAAATAATCGTTAATTGGACACTTCAGTTATTTTCATCGTCCACTCTGCCTTTTCTTGTCCAGATCTTATGTGGATTTAAATTATAGTTTTTTTTTTCGGCATTTAAAAAATAAAAAACAAAAATCAATGAAGTTAATTTAAAATTAAATAATTACTTTATTTTTTACTTTGATTGAATCTTGTATAATATTTTATGTGTTCATATTTGCATATCTAACGAGTAAGTAGTGTCTATATATATTATTGTGATAATCTGTATTTTTACTTTTTTGCACTGTAAAATAATTATTATTTTGAATATTTGATGTGACGAAAAGTTATAAAAATAGAATTTCGTAACATTTATAGGGAAAAAAAACTTTTCTATCAAACAACCTCTGCTATACCACTTTGGTCTCGTTAAACATTAAAACCGTCTCACTTAAATTCGTGTAAAATATTAATAATGCGTGTTTAATATGTATTTCGAAATTTGTTCGTGAATGTAAACCTACTCTACAGCAGGGTATTCGTTTTTAGAGCGATTTCATAAATACAAAATACTCTTAGATACTTCTTAATACTTCTTACGGATTACGGGACGGTTCATTGATTAGAATTTCATTAAGTACGTATATATAAAAATCAATAAATAACTGTCAATTCATTTATTAAATTTATGAACTCTGATCAATAAATTACAATTATTATTTACGAAAACATGCCATACCTACAAGTGAATGTAAATGAATTGGAAACATTAGATTCTCGTCAAGTAAGACCGAAAATAATCATTGTAGTTAGCCTAAAGCCCTAAAATACGTTATAATTACTAGGTATTATGAAAGTTATATTGTAATCAAACGACGATGGTGTTTCAATACGGCCGTTGGTGTTAAAAGGAAATACAAACAATATTCAAAGACGTCATTGTGTTATAAATATCGAATTAATTATACACAACAACAAATTAAAATATGTACCAACGATAAAATATTAGAACTAATATTTTTGTTGTTATAACTTGCAATGTTCCTTATTGTTTGTCCGATAAGGAATACTAAATATATGTGTTATTGCTATTTTGCACGCTATAATTGAATTTATGAACTTTGAAACAGTTATTATTTACTTTGATAATGTATAGGTAATTTTTTAAAATGAAATATGAAGCTATACAAAATTTTAAAAATGTCAATCTATAATATAAATGACTAGTGTTATTAGGGCTGTCTGGAAAAAAATATTGTAATCACGATTATTGTCGAGAGAATTCGAAAAGGAAATTTTTGTACTCTATCGCTTTCATTTGTCCAGGAATCCTTACTACTACTATTATATCCAGGTTACTATCTATAATATTGTAAACTAGAAACAACGTAATTAGAAAAAACGATTTTGAAGAAAATCGTGATATACTGTAAGAATTAAAATGAGTTCATAAAAAACAGTGATAAAACAACTAGAATCCTTGTGGACACTTTTTTTCTAGGAAGGCTCAGAAAATCAAGTCAGAAGTTCAGTTCAAAATAATCGTACATGCTTGAAATTTGGACAAAAAAAAAATATATTTGCTTTTTCTAGAAATGGTAAAATTTCAAAAATCTGAGCCATTTGTGAGCTAAAAATAAATAAATAGCTATTTATAGACATTTAAATATTGTGAGTTTTGTAAGTAATTTTTATTCGGTAAGTACTCTGTGCATAAAATTGTTAAATCAAACAGAAATGCTTAAAAATTTATCAGGATGTTCATTATAAATTATACTTTGTGGTAAAAAAAAAAAAAATAAAAAAAAGATCTTATATTGAGGCTGGGCGTGGCCACTGTTATAGGATACATAAGGTTATTTCATTTATATCTGTAAGCAACGACAAAAAATTCCGAGCGCAGTTCTGTGGTACATAATTTGAAGTGCCGTATTTTTTTTTTTTTTTTTGCAATTTTCGTTTAAATTTGATTTAAAAATGCTTATTTAAAAAAAAAAAAAGTCATTCGATGATTTTGGAAATTTTACCACGTTTAGGTACGTCCAATATAAGTGTTATTACAAAGTTTCAAGACTATATGTGTATTTATAACTGAATTAAAGCAAAAAAACTCCCAAAAACTCAAATTCCTTAAAGGCTCAAAAATGGCTCATAAGTTTTGGCGATGATACCGTAAGAAAGAATATCAAATAAAAAAATATTAAACCCAATAGCACCCTCACTACGGTCGAAATCTAAAATGAGTGTAATGTAAAATTTTTTTTAAAATAAGAATTTTTATATTAAATTTTGGTTAAAATCGTAAATATTAGGGTCTTTCAAAACATGTAAAACTGAACTCCGCTCAGAATTGTTTTTCGTTAGCAATGATAAATCAATGCGTACAGATATACCTACATTAAATTTCTTCCATATCCTACCATCTCACTTACAACAATAATTGCCTATCCATCGTGCGAAATATATCCGTCTTTTTTTAATTTGTTTGTGCCGTAAAATTATAACTTTAACTAAATTTAATATTCCATTACATTCTTGATATTTTTTTTCGAGGAAAATATTTTCATTATATTTTTAAATAATAACAATAATAATAATAATTCATTTTTGCGTTTCAAACGTGATTTATTTATAATAATTCAACTTATACCTACCTATTCGTCTTTTGGGGATTTTAAGCGTTTCATTTTTATACAAAGCAATATATTATAAATGATAAATTATTAATTCGGGCGACTTGAATATTAATATAAAACGGTTTCTTTTAATATAACTAATACCTAATAATTATGACGTTTCGCGTAAAATACGAGTCGCGAATTATGTAGATTGATTATAGAAATTAAAATATTTAATCATTTTTCGTCTCTGGATAGAAAGAAAAAAAAAAAATTATATTTTTTAACATAGCGAAAAAAAAGAAGAAAAATTGCCAATTTAAATACACCAAACGTGTTGTTCATACATATTCGGTCCGTTACATATAAATTGATTGTATGTAATAATTTAAATATTATAATACTATATATTTTATACTCTCGAGCGCTTTTAATCACGTTACACTACGAGTTATTTAGTAAATTAACAGCGCCCATTCTAACTTTATGAAAAATACGAACGTATCGACTGCAGTTCATTTGAATGCAACACGATTCTCTCAAAGTAATGTTCACTATCACAGAGTGTAGTAAATTGATCGAACTACTCGTTCGAATTTTTATACTTAAAAGGGTTGAACTTGGTTAATTTAATCAACATAATGTAATTATATTACACAAAGGTTCGGCTGTATAAGGCCCATTGGTTGTTTCAGGAA